TACCCAACTTAACCGCTCGTGTGGAGTCCACCAATACGAAACAGCCAGCTGACTGCCCAAGCAGGATTTCCTAAGCAAGCATCTAGAATCACTAGAATGACTACTAGGCTGACTTAATTATTATGAGGTTTGGCGGTTTTTCATAATTTGAATTGACCCAATTGTGAAAAACTCGAGGCGTTCGGCGGGATTTGAACCCGCCGGAAGTGCGGATGTTATTCGCAACCAACCCTGTCCTGCACGGCAAAGAAAAGGATAGGCTGCTAGCTCAGACCACTTCTATGTGCATCTACTCGTGAACTTGCCCCTGTGGTACAGGTTTTATCGGTCGGCGGGTTCAAATCCCGCCGAACGCCTCCATTTTTTCACAATTGGGTCAATTCAAATTAATAAAACCTGTCAAACCTATTAATAAAGTTCAATTTGACAGTTCCAACAGAAGTCGGATATCATTATTCCTATGATTAATAAAAAAACATTTTCCATAATAAATTACCTCTTTAAAAACTGTTTTAATTGGATATTCAGCTGACGAATTTCTGTGTTTATTAAATTTTACCAAAGTAATATCACAATGAAATTTGAGACTTTTCATAATTTCCTTAGGTTAACTTAATATAAACGATTGACTGGAGATGAGAGAACTTATTTGTTTCTGTATAATGGATTATTTTCCGCATAAGTGGATTAACTCCACGATCTGATATTATCTTACGACTGCAAAAATAAGTGGCCATTTAATGGCCATTTCTTAAAATACATATTATTCTTCTGTCTGTTCCGTTTCTAAATAACGCATAAACGGAACGTATAGTTTGCAAAAAATATAGGTCTGCATGACTTACGTTCAATAAAGCCTTCTTTAAATTACCTTCGCGGTAACATATGCGGACACGTTGCTTATACGCTAAGGTGAGCCGTGCGGTAAAACAAACTGCGACGAAAAAGTTTTGTTACTGCATTTTGTTAAAAACAATTTCACAGGTTAGCTAAGCATAATTATTAAAACTTTAGTTGTTGCTTGTTTCCGAAAATAGATGTGATTCCTTAAACTTAGCTTCACTTCCATTTGAAGAAATTCGGAAAAAGTTCTCCACTTCTGGCAGGGATAATTTCTCCACTTTTCTTACTTATTCTGGAATTCTTCCATAGCGCAATACATAGGAATAAAGTGTTTGGTTCTGTCGTACTTCATAGCATAGGACATTTCTTCGATATAAACCTACTCATGGTTTGGCAAACGTTAGTGCCCATTTCGCTCCACAACTTTAACTAAGAGGGCATTTTTCCAAACTAAAGCCTTTCCAATTATTAAATCCACTCAGTTGATCAAAATGAACTGTTCAAATATATGCCTACCTATCAAGTTAAATTTCGTCATGAAGGTTGCATGCATGTATATATGGAGTAAATTATTCTGTTAGTTATTGAATGCATGAACTGAAGTTAAGTTACTAGAACATGACTTTTTAGAGTCAGAACCGAGATTTCTATGAACATTTGGGTCGAAGACAATCATTTTTTGTGGAATAACCACGCAAATGTCCATTCTACGAAGGCGTAGTACTACAACTAGTATACATCTATATGACGTTGATGTTATGCCGTGTTCCTGTACGAGTTTAAAGCCCAGACGCGTCTTTCACCGATGTTTCTGCTGCTGCGTGATACAGCAACGAGGGGTTCGGCACCACATTGTGATAAATAGTTCTCTAAATTTTTAAGTGCATGACTTGGAGGGGGGTGGTTGAGATTGTCTTCGAGCCATCTGTTCATTGCAATCTCGGTTCTGATCCTAAAAAGTTACGTTCCAGTCGCCCACACCCAAGTCACGCATTGAAAAAAAATTATTTATCTAGTACCTATGCAGGGGTAGGGTATAACATCGTTGCCACAGATATATATATGAGAAGAAGAGGCGATCACGGAAGCTATATTTTTACTTTCCTGACGTTTCAAAAGCGTACAGGCCACCATCATCAGAGGTGGGGGTTGTACCGCGCCTCACAGTATTTATAGTAGGTGACAGTCATAGTCAATAGGGTTTAAGCCAATGCAAAGGATGGGGGGCGACTGGGGCATGGGAGGGATGCTTAATCGTTGACGCCTTGAGGCGGATTAGTCTTTGTCAAGGGGTCTCGCGTCGGATTCTGCTGTTCGCGCCTGTGCCACTGTCATTGATCTGAGTTGCCG